CTAGTTTCGTTGTTTTTGGAAGTTTTGAATGGAAACAAAAGAGTTAAATTTTCGAAATGTTCAGTGAAGAATGAGAAAAAAACTTCAAGAGACGAAGAGAAGGTCTTAGAAAAGATGAACCATCAGCATAGCTAGAAAGTGACAGAGGAATCAACTGATCATGTTCCAATAGACAGGACCAATTTTGTGAGAAAAAATGTCACTCTAGGCCTTAAGGAGGTCCTAGATACATCACAACTGCCAATACAAGCAGCAGCCCGAATCAATGGTTTGTTAGAAATGGAAAACAGTGGCAGCAGCTCTATACCAGAGCTCACTACTGAAAGAGTCACTGTGAAACTGCTACAAGGTAAAGCCAGCGTGCGAAACTGGGGAGTCCCATATTGGCTGGCTACACCAGTACTGGCTGGCTGCTAACTCACTCACCATAGTGGCGCTCATACTAGCTGCAATGGCAGCAAAACCTTTGGTTTAACAATTCTTCTTTTGGAAATGTGCTTTTCTAGTTGGGTAATGTGTTTTTTCACAAATTAATGGAGATCTTACACATGTGATTAACTCTTTCCACCAAGCTCTTGGAAAATGGCTATGAGGGACCAACTGGATGAACCGATTTGCAACAGCACCACCCTAAGGCAGACCAGTGCTGTATCAATAGCTAGTCAAGAATATCAAAGACAGAGGGTTACTGATTGTGGATGGAGCAGCTAAACAATAAGGTTTCCCTGAATTTGTATTTGTGCATCTATTTTTTCCCTAACAGACAGTATAACATCATAATAAGTTTATTTAATCAGGGACCCCCAGAATTTTGATTTTGAGACATTCAGGGGTTCAAGATGGTATATTTTGCCACATATAATATACACGTGTCTGTGACAAACTTCAGGTAAAACACAGAATGTCTTTTAGGAGCAAGAAATGTCTGTGTTTAATCAAGAAATGTCAAAAAATGTTCAAGCAACTTGGCATTAGTTTAGCGCTATCAAACTGCTAGAATCCTTTAGGGACATTAGCAGGAATTAGTAGTAGCATAAAAGTGGGTCTCTTCCTCATGTTTCAACTGAGTTTTAATATTTATGACAAATTGAAGAACTAGCTCTAACAGTTATGGTTTGGCACTGAAAGCAGAAAACATATATAACAGAAAATCACACAAAACATATTGCTAATATCAAATCTCTCTTGTGCACACTACACCTGCCACCTTAAATCTTCTAACCTTTCAATCCTGAAACCAACAAGTTACAGCTGTGTCCTCCCAATAAAAGTCACTGTCCCCCTTCAAAGAGATACTAACATTCACACAAGCAACAACCCACACACACCTAAGCTGCCCTGCAAATTTCTCTCTCATGTGTGACTAAATGGGATATTTGTGTGGAAAACAGATAATCCACTTAGATAAGTAAAGAGAAAGTCAACAGAAAATAAGTGAAATAAACAGGAGTTTCCAAAAATGTTATAAAATGATGAAAAGATACAGAGGAAATGTGACTCCTAACGACAATGCAAGACCTGGAAGACCACCAAAACTCTCACCATCAGATAAACAGTACTTAAAGATTTCATCTTAGAGAGATAGGAGAAAATAGCTGCACTATAACACAGACACTGGACATCTGAGACGTGGAGTAAGGTTTGATGCGTCTAAAGTCGTAATTGCAACAAACATTTCTAAGACTAAATGCTAAAAAATAACTTTAATAATGGTTGTTCTGGAAATGAAACAAATGAAGGGTGGTCTCTGACTTTTGCACAGCACTGTATACATCCCAGACCTGAGCAGAATAAGCCATATCAGTGCAGAGCTTTATATCCTGCCTTTTTTTCGTCTGTAGAAAAACTGTAACAGTCCTAAATTAATTAGGTGCTAAAGTGAGTATGTTCTAAAGTAATCTTTTGATCACACAAACCCAATGAAACAAATTAGCATAGCTAGGAAACAAAGCGACCGGCCCCTCATACAACATTAAACACTACAACAAATCAGCTGTGTCAATGTTTCATTAATTAGAATTCTTGTTTTTTTTGGCATAAAAACCCTGATTGCTGCCAGCGTTTAATCAGGCAGATTGCCTCTAGACGGTGGCTGCTGAGGACAGCTCCCTTTTCCTTCTGTTTATTGTCTCGTCAATCAATAGTGGAGGAAACGCTTGAAAAAAAGATCTTGTCGGAGTCTAAAGAAAAAAATAAAGCATGATTTGGTGCATAAAATGTTTCAGATTTTAAGTTTTGGTACATAAAACAGTAATACTTTATTTGGAGTGGCTCTGTAGATGATTAATAAATATATCAGTAACATATCAACAACATATCAATGAAGTAGCAGTAGTGAAGCATCTGAAGTAAATGTGGATGTAGATGTGCAGTTGTTACTTCCATTATGCAAAACCTAACCTTACCCAACCTTACCCAAAACCTAACCCTAACCCTGACCCTGGCCCTAATCCTAACCCTAACCTTAACCTCAACCCAAAACCTAATCCTAACCCTCATATGTTTTTGACATGTTACTGAGTCTGTTGAGTGTTTGTTTAATCTAAAAGGACCTCTCAAAATAAAGTGTCACCCATAAAACCACAGAAAAGTGGAGCTCAGGGAAAAAAATCCAAGAAAAATGTATGATATGGGCTGTTTTTCTTGTTTGTCAGCAGTGGCATGTCAATGGTAAAATGTGTAAAGTAAAGCATGGTGAGATGCAGCAAATGGTGGAACCGTATGGCTCAGTGTTAGCACAGTGTGACAACATAAAGCTCAGTGGGCTATAGATCAGCTATCATGGAAGAGGGACACAGGCCGCAAGTCGAATGCATGGTACACAATGCAATTAGCAAATTAGCTGAAACACATCACAGTAGCTGAACGTCCACCAGTAGATGATATAAAGTGACTCAAACTCAATGATAATGGTGCTAAAACATCCACAAACCCTTCCTGCACCACAGACACACGTTTTCTTTACCACAGATGTGAAGCTACAGTGACAGGCTGCAGTAGATTCTGATGATGAGGCGTAATGTGAGGGAGCAATGGCTAGCTGATTTGGGCCGCTGCTCCACTCAGCGGATTACTGACGAGAGCACCTTTTGCCTTTTGAATAGTGCATGAATGGAATTAATGCATTAATCCTGTCCATCCCCAGGCTCTCTGCTGCCCTAGTTTTACCAGAGAGAGAGAGAGAGAGAGAGAGAGAGATGCCTCCCTATTTACCACAGAAATTGCTGTTAAATTATTACTATTTTCACAGAAACCAGAGGGAATCATGGCAAAGACAGCATGTGGGAATTCTGCTGATGTGGAATGAGAGGGCAAATCATATTTAGATACATTAATATGGATTTCTGTATTAGATACAACAGAATAATAGGGCAACAAACACTGATGGTTTATGGGGCACTGAAATTTTCCAACAGATGATAGTAGGGGAGCAGGAGTTTGTTGATTGTATTAACCCCTTAAACTGCAGGCTTATTATGCAGTTATTAATCTTAATACCAGGGGTTAATTTAGGCCAGACCGCAGCAGAGTGTGGCTGCAGCAGTTTTGGTTTATGTGAATGGAAAACAGAGCTAAGCTCCCGGCTAGGCTGTAATTGGATGGAGATGTAAATATTTCATAATACAATATTTGTGAAATCCATTTAACTATTGAATCTGATAAATTGTGCCAAGAGACAAACCCTAGAGTTGTGCTGTAGCTGACCCCATACGCCAGCACCTGCTTCCTCCACATTTAATACTCCATGATAGATAAGACAAATAATTGTCACCACCAAGGTAGCTAAATGAAATGTCTTCATAAAGTTGGCCTATTCCACATTAATGAATTTTTATTAAATGTTTTTTTTATTTGAACAGTAAAAAAAATGTTTACTGTTTGGCCAGCTGGATCCAGATACACTCAAAAGGCAGTCTTTGGACATAGACACAGATCAGACATGAAGCCTCATGAGACATGAAAAAAAGGACGGTATGGTATATTGAATGAGGCCCATTGTTCCTAGGAGAACATTTTCATGATTTTAATATGAAACTTCTGGTGCATTGTTGTGCACTGTGAGACTAAAATACAGGAGTAGTTGTTGTGGAATTACTTAGTTCTGCACAAATACAAGTCACATCCAAACAATTTAGTTTTTTTATTTGTTAAAAATCTGTTTCTTAGCATACCAAAATGCCAATGTATATGAAATTTGACTGACATCTTCTTTTTAGACTCCAGATCTATTAGAAATAGGTGTCACTTTAGCCATCATTTGTGTTCTACTGGCTCCATAATTCCCGTGCTTGGACCCCGATGATCGCTACTTGTGATGTCATTTGTAGACATTCATTTGGCTCTCATAGCAGCTGCGACAGTTGACAGAAATCACTGTGTTCTGCATCAATTTCAGACAAAAAAGAAGCTGGTTGTCTTGGCAGCAAACAATACTAATTTACACAAATTAACCTTTGTCACTCACTATTCGAAAGCTAATAAAGAAAGAAATCAAAATATGCAAAACTGCTCATGAAACTTGGCTTTCTTTTCACGTTTTGGTAATGATATTTTAGTTATGACTGGTCAATGAAAATTAAATACTCCCTCTGTGGGTGACTGCTATCCCAAACTGCTGCTGTGCTGTACTTGTGGGACAGAAGGGATTCTCCCCCAGAGTTCTCTGCTGGCAATAGCCCCCCATTCCTCTTTCACAAAGTAAGAAGGATAAATAGATACAGTAAAATGTTATTATAAGGCCAAGTCTAAACAGCTTCATCAGTATACACCAGTCTTTCAATAAACAAACTTGCAAAACATTTATCCCTTAAGAGAACTGCTATAGTAAAATGCTTTTACAAAGAAAATGAGCTGACACTCTTTCATTCAAACAAAACCATTTTCTCTGATCTTCTCTCTGATTGTGACATATTTTCCTCTAAATTCTGCTGTATCCCAGTGAGAAGTGGGCATCAATGCTCATACTGCATCTTTCCAAGAAACATTTACCCAGCTTTTACCGGCTTCTCTAGCTCTCTCGCTGCAAAGCTCTGCCATTGTGCCTCTCCAGAGAATAGCGAGGTGAGGGCAGGCTGTGGATCTTCCTCGGCTGAAAGCCTCCCTGATCTTCGTTGTGAGCTCTCTGCTTCAGCACAGCCTCGCTGGGGGATTTCCATAATATTGAAAGATGCATTCTGCGGCGCTGCCTCTGAAACTGGCAGTGTAAACACAGCAATTTTATGCGATGTTTCCCCACAGGATATGCTGTGTTTCAATGACCAACAACCTCTGCATCCTGCCCTTTGAGAAAGAAGACTGTGACATCTTATCAGCAGCATAGCCTACATAACAATAGCCGGCTACAAAACATGTACTTCTATTATTGTTATTTCCCTGTGCATGCATATTAGCCCTGATCTTCTGGCATTCTTTCCAGTCAGTTTGCTCTGTATCCTCTGTTCACCCCAAACGCTTCCCTGTTCTGTTCAAGCCTTCTGTAAAATAAACTCAGCCATCAGAGCCTCGTCCCACATCTCTGATATTACAGCCGGCCTGCGAGTGTCTCCCACAGGGCACTTTCCAAAATGGAGCCTGAGTGAGAGCAGGACTGAGCCTGCTCCTGCCTCATTTCTTCCTACATTCAGTCCAACGGCAGGGGTCTACAAGCCAGTATGGCTTCAAATCAAAAAAACACATCAGGCAGGTGAAAGAGAAGAAGGTGGAGATGTGAGTTCATAAAGAACTTCTCGTCGTATTATCTGTGATCCTTTAGCTGCAGAGCCAAAAATAACAGAGCATTTTTGTAGCAATTTCCCATCAGGATAACAAACACAGTAATCACTGCAATCATTTCGCCACCAATATTCGACAGCAAATTGGTTTGTTTTGTTTATTTGCTATTTCACTCTCAGGCATGTATCATTCCAACTGAATATGTGAAATGTAATGGTAATAGGCCTTTGCACTACTTGATACTCAACTTGGCCCTGTTCTTCATCTTGTTGCACCCGTTTCCATCTAACAGATCCTCAGGTCAAAGCTCTAGCTGCATTTCACCTGCCTGACTTCTTGCAATTGTATCAGCTTCGCACTAAACCTACGTACGTATTAGCTCCATCTATAAACCACATTGACTGCGACTCTGACCACTCTTTCATTAAATGTTCCCACTTGCCCTTGGGGAATGTTGTTCATGGAATATTAATGGAAACAAAATGGATTGTAGCTCAACCCTGTGAGCGATACTTCGTAGCCCATTTTCAACACTGATGATTACCATTACTATTATCACTTCAGGGTCAATGGCTGCTTGTATAGCATGGGGCCTTTCCTCTGTGTTTCACGAGTGCACTTAGCCAGCTAACTTGCCATTAGACATTTCACTGAGCATACCTGCACACTACATACTTGAAATCGTTTCAGTACACCCGGCAGATTAATCTCCGGCACACAATATTATAATACACTGAGTGTATCAGGGCACATATACTATAGTACAGTTACATAAATCAGAAAATGTGAATCTGTGCATCATTATTCAAGTTTTGTCTAAATTAGGCACAGAGAGCATAGTAGGGGTGCCAGGATGCGCATGCGGGACACAGGGAATGGTTTCTGTAGCTCTACTTTGCATAATGTTGTACAGCAGGAAGCTCCATAGTGGAGCTGGTAATCAAGAACAATAATGAAGGGCAAAGCGGTAGATCAAACAGTGTCAATGTGCCAACCTTGAATATGTAAAACGTTGAATATGTAAACTCATTTGTGAACACATCACCCATGTTACAAATATCACTAATAATAATAATAATAATAATAAACATTTTGGGGCTTTAGGGACTGGTTTTATAACTCAAATTAATACTAATTAAAAAAACACTTATTTAAAGATACATAAAACAAGTTGATTGACTTGTTACCACAAGAAATAACTTTATTATTCATTCATTTCTTTTATTCATTCATTTTATTTATCACTCTCTAAAGAATAACATATCTCTAAAATACTAACTTTAGTGGAGAAGACAAAAAACGTTCCTTAATTTGCATGTAAGGTAATGTCATAAGTTTTTTTTTTCAAAATAATTTTGGAGCAATTCTATTGGTCCATTCATAAAGAATTTTTCACACAACAGAAAGGACAGCTGCTGTGTTCAAACGATAAAGAAAAATAAAAATGGACAAAAAAGGAGATAGCGGTGATATGTTCTATATATAGTACAGATCTTGGTGGTCAGGGATTGGCTTCAAGTGATGTATACCATCTATGAAAGCTATCTGATAGGTATTGAATAATGTAATTGGTTCAACTTGTCATTACGCCCTGTTTCAAGTTTCTCAAGCAAGAAAGTCAAATTATTTGCAGGTGCTCCTGCATTAGGACATACTATGCACGTAGCAATAACTGCTGTTCATCACAGAAGGTAACGGGACCAAAGGAACATTAAAAGGAACATTACTTTCTCTCTTACAAGGGAGGAACTGTTTAGAATTACACAACTGATGAAGATCCCTTTCCCCAAATGGACCCAGAATCAATCCTGGTTGCAGACTCAAGCACTCAGGTCAAGTGTGAAAACCCCTTAATGTCAAACAGGACCATTCCTTAGACCTCCACAGGCCCAATCTACCACAATTCAGCTTCCACACTTAGCAATACAAACAGCCTCTGTGTCACATGCAGCATGATTAGCACACTTAGCATAGCAACTGCTGAGCAGTGGGGGAAGACTGAGGGGAGAAACAGTGGGATAGCTGAGCAACGTCTGGACATCTGTCTCCATTACGGCTGTTAATGGCTCCTCGGTGGGCTTAATTACAGAGCTCTGGAGAAAAGCGAGCACATGGCTGGAGAGAACCTGCATCCAAGCGCCGGCTCTCGCTACACAGAGCAGGTTCAGTTTAGAGACAGCTGAATCACGGTGGTAATGAGGAAGGAGTCAGCAAGCAGATGAAACTCAGTTACTTCAGAGAGGGGCTATCAGAGTCAAGCATGGAGTTGAATCATCCGGCTAATGAGGTTGTGGCTGACAAGATGTTGATCAGTTGCATCAGGAGAGCGTCTGTGGGGAGGATTGGGCTGAAATCCATGTCAAGACTGGGGTAAGCAGGAGAAAACATGATGAAATACCCTAGACTGACCCAAAGAGATTAAAATATTTGAATTTTTCTCTCCTGTTCAACTTTGCACTGTTATTGGTGACCTATGTTGGAATTGTAATGAGAACACTTAGAGTGCCTCTTATCTTCTCATCCAAAGGAAATCACCCATGGAGAAAGGGATTTGCAGAGGCATGAGTCTACTCAAGATGTCTGTGCATGTCTGCAAAATGAGTGAGCGAGGGAATGAGAGAGAGAGAAAGTGAGATAGTTCAATGATCAAAGTCATGGGCTTTAGTGCTTAGTACAAGTATGTGAGTGGCGTAAATTTTAACAGGATTCGTTTGGAGCGTCTGTCTCTCTCTCTCTCATACAGCCTTTGTCTCTGCAACCAGGGCAGTTACATTAACATGACAAAGTACCACACTGGCTGCCACATAGATAACCACAGTGCAAGACGGCAGAGAGAGGGCTTGACGGGTGTCCTTATACAAGAAAATCACATCACCCACACTAGAGAAAAAAACAGAGATAGAGTGACAGAAATGAAGAGAAAGAGGGTCTATGTGCACTTACACATTGGATTATTACATGCTACCTTATATTAGAAGTCTGCACAGGCATGAAACTGAAGACTGAGCCTGACCTGTACCTGCGACTTTGAGATAGGGTGACCAGACGTGACCAGAGCAGACAGCTGGCTGCTGTCTACTGACCACTTCTACCACCTGCTTGCCTAGTTTTAGAGAACACTGCTGTGTAAAAGTCTACCAGAAGCTAGCAAGTGTCAAGTGAGTCTACATCACCACAAACTTCTTTTCAAGACATGAGGTAACCCAGGGATTAAAAGCAGGGTTGAGGTTAAGGGAGTTGTACAACCAGGTCATAGGTAGGATTTGTATAGCCATACAATCTACTTGAATGCAGGTTACCATGCAATCTACAAATAGTGTATCAATTTTTTAAACTTTGTCACTTTTTCAGCCATCCATATATGGCATATGGCTTACGTTGAAAGCAGCTGTCTCTGTCTTTCCAGACCTAGAGCTTGACCATGGGTGTATTTAGGGTCTGGCTACCAGGCTACAGTCACAGGTCTTTTTTCTGTAGCCACAGCTCTCCTTTTATAGCCAAAATATTAAATATGAATATGAATTATGGGCTCATACAGCCACTGAATCCTTTGTAGTAAACATAACACTGTGTCATCCCTTTTTATCACTCCGACTTCACCATAATTTATTATAGTACAACCATTGTAAAAAATACATGAGACTGGAACCATCCCCCCTGTTTTATTTTAATGGATAAAAACACTGAATATTTTAATAATATATTGGCTGCCGAACTGGAAATGTCCCTATTTTTCATTTCAGAAATCTGGCCACCTCACATTGAGACCTGACCCAACTGGGCCCAACTGATAGTGCTAAATTTGAAACCTAAACCCAGCTGGAACCACTCGCACACACTAAACAGACACGGGTTTAGAGAGCTTTGTTTCAAAGACCTTGAGTTGTTTGATAGAAAATGTCTTGCTAGGATAAACAGTTATTTTACACATCTGTAATGCACTAACAGTCTTTATTATCAGTAGACTTAATTGCTGATTGTACCTAGCAGAGGACAGCATCCACCGTCTACTGATCAGCTGTTAGCCATGCTGCAGAAATGTGTAACACACTTGGGGCAAGCTAAACAAGCAAAGAGAAAGATCTGCTGTGACCTTTTACCAACACAACACATCCCTCTCATTATGCATGGTGTGACTGCAACTGATGTACTGATGAACTTCATCCATTTTATTCAGGGGCACATTCACCCGCTTCTCAAAATCCAGTGTTATTCTGGATGCAGCTAAAGACTATAACGTTACTAGAGAGAGAGAGAGAGGGAGAGAGAGAAAGAGAGAGAGGGAGAGAAGGAGAAAATGTGTAAGAGTGCACAAAATTGACACATTCCTC